TTGCCAAAACCTTAATTCAATCAAATTTTTCACAAAGAATACGTTTAGGCCTTGTTTGATTAACAATATTAATACTAAAAAGATTAATAATCTCATGAATTAATGTATGATTAGTTATCCAATTAAATTAGTGAGATAATCATTTATTAAGTATTCATTTTGTTTTATTTTTTCATACTTGGAATTATGATTTCCAACTGCTCTCAGTATTAAAAATTCACTAATTTCATCGGATTAAATATCCGCCATATATATAATCCTGTTAATAAAATTTACAATCAAATATGAGATTGTAAGTCCACAAACTAATAATTCCAATCTTATGCTATAGTTCTACTAATCAAACATGCCCGTATAATGTGATGCTTGGTGCTAAGTTATTTTTGTGATGTCAACTAATCGAGCTATTCAACGAATTGGCTTTGATCTTGACATACTTAAGAGTTTCCTCAAATTGCATATGTTGAAACCTATTTGATAAAGGAATTGAGACCAACAAGTATTCTACTTGAATCTATGCCAATTATTTGTTATAAAATAGGGTTAATATTACATTCTATCCCCTTAATTATTACTAAATATTTTCTTACTCTTAAATTTTAAAATCATACATTTAAACCTTTCTTTTTTCTTTTCTTTTTTTTGTCAATAGATAAATAAGAGAGTGATTACAATCATAATAAATATTTACATAATCGAATAAGCCTCTAATCTACAATAATTAGAAAGTCTAACAACTAAGCCCACAATAATTAAAAAGTCTAACAATCAATAATTGAAACTTAGCAAGCCCAACAACAAACCCACCAAGCCCAAATCCGACAACCCATCCAATCAATCCCTATAATAGGAGAAAAATAAAAATCACCACAAAGGACCTCTACATTTAAACTAATCAATTATCAAAAATTTAGTTTCAGTCCCTTGTAGGGTTTCAGTCCCACTAGTAGGGGAGAAATTATATTTTGTCCTAAGGACAAGTTCATGTGATGCTCCAAATTAAATTTGATTGGTTAAAATAGTGGATCCTATCACTTTTGTATGTCCTTTGAGAAGATAAATTGACAAGTATCCGGTCTTGAGTGGTGTGGAGCGATACATATGTTGTCTCTGTTCCCCTTTCCCCTTCTTTATCTCTTCATTTTTCTTCGTCTATGATCATTGCAACCCAAAGTTATACTAAATACCTTCTTTAGTAGGGATTTTTTTTTTTTTTTTTTGAGATCTATGCCCTGGAAACTGCTAAAGGTTATTTTGGTTTGTTAAATCTTTGCAAAAAATGACTGTTTTGGATTTAAACTTTAATTTTCTCTCATAAATCATGAAATACAAAGACCAAAAAATCTATCTATTCAATTTTTATTTTAGAATTTTATATCTAATATTGATATTATTTTAAAGACTTTGAAAAGATGAATTTAAAAATATCATGTTTATTAAAAATGGATTTATATAGTTAAAGTTATAGAATTTAAAAAAAAAATAGCACAAAGTATACATAAAAGGTAAAAATGTCAAAAATTGTCTTTATCACCATATGTTTGGATTTTCCAACTGTGATGTGCATACATTTTTGTTAGCCCTAAGGTTATTTGAATTTAAATTCTTATTGATTTTGATTATCGACAAATATTTTGAAACAATTTATTTATTCAAAATTTTCAAAATAGTATTATATTATTGCTCTTCATTGTTTCTAATAGAGGAACGCTTCAAAATTGTCAATTTCTCATGAATATTGGTACCTCAAAAACATGGAATTAGCATTTCTATGCAAAATACTATTTGTGCCTTAAACAGGTCCAAGGGTCGACACCAAGACAGCAAGGGTCAACACCAAAATGAAATACACAATGCCTAAGTGTTGCAGCAGCAAGGGTCGATACCAAGAATGGCAAGGGTCGACATTAAATTTCAAAACACAATCCAGCAGTAAGGGTCGACACCAAGAATGACAAGGGTCGACACTAAAATTCAAAATACAAAGTTCGGACTTCCAGGAAACAAAGGGTCAACACCCAGTTTCGAAAAGGTCGACACTAGGAACACTTGGAAATCACACAAAGAAGAAAAGAGAAGCAAAGGGTCGACACCCAATCTGCAGGGGTCGACACCCATAAATCTGGTGTCGCGCCCCAAAATTTGGACAATTAAATAACACATTAAATTAATTAAATAACACATTAATTCTCATGTAGCCACGTAATTAATAAAGTCAAAAATAAAATAAAGTAATAATAATAAATAATGACTTACGAAAAATCAAGGTCGGTACAATAAACACACCTCAACAGAATCTCGTCCCGAGATTCGATAAAAAAGGGTACTAAACAAAAAACTCCAGGTGCATATACCGAACTTTCTCTTCCAATTCCCAAGTGATATCATTATCATCCTCGCTCCATTGCACTTTCACCAAGTTCACTTTCTTATGCCGCAACTGCTTTACATCCCGGTCTAGAATAGTAACCGGTCGCACCACATACATTAGATCGTCACTAATCTCCAACACTTCTAGTGATACTACTTGGAAAGGGTCTTGCACACACTTCCGCAATAAAGATACATGGAACAAGTTGTGAATCATAGCCACATTACCAATCCTCTCCGTGATCTCGTATGGTCCCATAAATCTAAGTGCCAACTTTCTATTCTTTTCGAACCGCATGATACCCTTCATCGGTGAGACCTTCAAAAACACAAAATCTCCAACATTTAACTCAACCCCCTTACGTTTTCTATCAACGTAACTCTTCTAACGACTCTGTACAATCTTAATACGTTCCCGAATAATGTTCACCTTCTTCGTGGTTTCTCTCACTAACTCTAGCCCTAACAACGGCGCATCTCCTACCTCCATCCAACAAGCAGGTGATCGACATGGCCTCCCATACAAAGCCTCAAAAGGTGCTATCCCGATGCTGTAGTGATAGCTATTATTATAAGCAAAAACTCCACCAATGGCAAGTGTTCTTCCCAACTACCATCAAGATCAAGGACACAAACTCTCAACATATTCTCCAAGATCTGATTTACCAGCTCAGTTTGCCCATCTGTCTAAGGATGATAAGCCATGCTCAAGTCTAACCTAGCACCCAAAGCATGCTGAAAACTCTCCCAAAACTCTGCCACAAATAACGGATCATGATTTGAAACTATAGAAACTGGCACGCCTTGAAGTCGCACCACCTCCTGAATATATAGCCTAGCTAGTTTATCCATAGTTCGGTGAGCACTGATAGGAATAAAATAAGCAGACTTGGTGAGTCGATTCACTATCACCCAAATAGATTCATTGCCTCGCTTAGAGCGCGGCAATCCATCCACGAAGTCCATAGAGATGTACTCCCATTTCCAAGTAGGGATCTTGAGAGGTTGCAAAAGTCCAAACGGTCGTTGGTGTTCTGTCTTAACCTGTTGACACACATAACATCGAGAAACATACTCTCCTACGTCCTTCTTCATACCTTCCCACCAAAACGTCCTCTTCAGGTCATGATACATCTTAGTCCCACCAAGGTGAATGGTATATCAAGACCTATAGACATCATCCATGATCTCTTTCCTCAATTCAACAAGGTTAGGTACACACAACCTGTCCCTAAATCGCAATCCCCCATCTGAGTCCACAGACTAATCAGTAGGACAATCATCGATCAAATTCACTACAAGGTCATCGAGCCTGCTGATGAGAAACCCATCTAAATACTACATCTGATGAACTTTACCTAGTAATGTCGACTACACGGTCAAACTATCAATGTATGCCCTCCCGACACCCTTTATTGGTTGAACATCATGCATCAACATGAACTCCAAAGACTTCCATTCCTGAATCATAAAAGAAAAAACCATAATCCCATGTTGTCAACTAAGTGCATCTGCGACCACATTTTCTTTCCTTGGGTGGTAAAGGATCTCGAAATCATAACTACTAATGAATTCAACCCACCTTTGTTGCCTCATGTTCAACTCTTTTTGAGAAAAAAGATATTTAAGACTCTTGTGATTTGTGTGTAACTCAAAACACTTCCCAAACAAGTAGTGTCACCACACTTTCAATGCAAAAATAATTGCTGCCAACTCTAAGTCATGAGTAGGGTATCATCTCTCATGAGGTTTTAACTATCGAGAAGCATAAGATACAATCTTCTAATGCTGCATCAACACACATCCCAACCCAGTTCCACTTGCATCAGTAAACACAACTAAATTTTCCCCTTGTACTGGTATAGTTAATACTGGTGCTATAGTCAACCGCTGCTTTAACTCCTGGAAAACTCTTTCACAATCATCTGTCCTTATGAACTTCACATTCTTGCGGGTCAACTTGGTCATGGGTGATGCAATAGTGGAAAACCTCTCTATAAATCTTCTGTAATAACCAGCTAGTCCTAATAAACTCGCTGCTTCCATTCTTTGACCGCAATAACTTTCTCAAGATCTACCCCTATCCCCTGATTGGATACAGCATGTCCCAAAAATCGAACTTCTTTCTCCCAAAAGTGACACTTACTGAACTTAGTGTATAACTGCTACTCCCTCAAAGTCTGCAACACGACTTTCAAATGTTCTCTGTGTTCTTCCTCATTCTTAGAATACACTAGGATATCATCTATGAAGATAATCACAAATTTATCTAGATACAGTTGAAAAATTATGTTCATCAAGTCCATGAAATAGGCAAGAGCATTGGTCAAACGAAAAGGCATTACAGGAAATTCGTACAATCCATACCGAGTCCGAAAAGCAGTAAACGGGATACTTTCCTCTGACACACACATCTAATGGTAACCCGTTCTGAGATCAAACTGAGAGAACACAGCTGCCCCCTTCAACTGATCAAACAAGTCATCAATTCTAGATAACGAATACTTGTTCTTGATAGTCACCTTGTTTAGCTCTCTGTAATCTATGCACATGCAGAGAGTGCCATCTTTCTTGGAGACAAAAATCGCTAGTGCTCCCCACGGGGAGTTACTTAAATGTATGAACCCTTTCTAAAGAATCTCTTCTAGCTGCTTCTTCATCTCTACAAGCTCTTTAGGCGCCATTTTGTATGCCACCTTAGAAATTGGTGCAGTTCCCAGCACTAGGTCAATACGAAATTCTACTACTCGTCGAGGTGGAGGTCCAGGTATCTCCTGAAATACATTCTCAAACTCACACACCACATCTACCTCACTAATATTCTGCTTAGGGATTTCTACCGAGCATAAATAACTCGTCATCACTGACTTTTCTCCATCGCTAGAAGTGTGGGTAAGTCGTGGCATACCGAGAATATCTATATTTATGGTCCTTCCAGCACAATCTAGAGTCACGAAGTGTTTTTGCAGCCAATCCATATCCAAAATAATTACAAACCCCTCAAACCCTAACACAATGAGGTCCACATACAAGACTCTGCTCGTAAAATCAATCTCAAAATCTTTACACATCTCATAAAGAGTAATTGCCCCTTCTAAAGGAGTCTCAACGCAAATAGGTCTAGATAAGAAGGTAGTTACAAGATGTTCTCTTTCTATAAATTGCCTAGATATGAAAGAATGAGAGGCACCAGTATCAAAAAGTACTCTAATGGGTTCTTGAAAAAGATTAAAGATACCTTCCAACCATCACCTTTAAGTTAAGCACACAAAAAGAATTCGTTCATAAATACCTAGAATAAATTTAACCATTAAACTAAACCAGCTAACCCAAGTTTCCACATCCGAGGATCACCTAAACTCTCACAAGTCTAGGGTAACCTAAAGCTCTGATACCAAACTGTCACGCCCCAAAATTTGGACAATTAAATATTAAATTAAATAACACATTAAATTAATTAAATAATACATTAAATTCTCATGTAGCCACGTAATTAATAAAGCTGAAAATAAAATAAAGTAATAATAATAAATAATGACTTATGAAAAATTAGGGTCGTTACATCTGGGTTTCAAAAGACCTAACCGCCCATTCAGATCTAGTCTGACACAGTTCATTTCCTAGCCGCTTTTTGTGATCTGTGTACAGAATAAGTCATCATTTCTGATCTTTGAGCAGACCTCTCTATCATAATAGCTTCTACCAAGAGTTGACTTATGAGCTTGAGCATTTAATGAACATCCTCTTCCCAAGACTTGTTAGCAACCTGTATACACCCATGCTCTGATCCATACAGCTAGAAGATATCATAGATGATATGCTCCAATGGCTAGAAGATTTACCCATGCTTCTCTCCAACAACTAGAAGCCATTAATGCTATAAAGAAAGAAGCTCTCCACATCCAAAGACACAACTCTCCAACACAAGAACACCAAAGAATTCAAGAGCTTTTATTATACTTCATTGTACTTCCACTTTCATATCTAAGTGAGTTTTAAATCCCCTCTGTGCTTACACTTTCATATCTATCTTTTGAGAGAGAAAATTTATAAACGAGGACAGTTGTACCTCTTGTTCTTCTTCCTTATTTTCTGAGTGAAACACTTGTAAAGTGAGGTATTTAGTTGAGAGGTTCTCAACAGATAAGAGTAAGTCCTTTGTAAAAATCCACAAGCCATGAGAAACTTGGTGGTGTATTGATTCGATTCCCAGTGAAGGAATTCTCAAGGAGGTATCTTGAGGAGTGGACGTAGGCCGGTGAGCCGAACCACTATAAATCCTTATGTTTGAGCTCTTCTTCTCTTCTCCTTATTTTATGTTCTATTGATTGCCTACTGAAATTATTTACTTAATTTATTGCAATCAATTTTCTGTCCATATTTTTTTTAATAACCCGATTCACCCCCTTTTGGGTTTCTTACCTGGGTAACAATTTTTGATAATTCTATTTTCACACACTAAATCCCCTCAAAGCACACACTTAATGAACATTTTCTCAGTGCGCAGATTAAAAACAAAAAATGTTCTCAATACACATCTCTTCATTTCAATAATGCCATCATTTTTTACTTTCAAAGCCCTAATTTATTTTTCATTCACCCACTCTTCCTTTTCCGGAAAACTTGCAATGTTTTCCATGTTGTTACCGTTGCCATTACTGCCACCTATGAAGCAAGGGTACTTCGAAAAACATGCCGTACTCGTACCAGATATTTACCAACGTATGGTACCTTGTATGGTACTTTTGCATACATATTGGGTACACGAAACACATACCCAAAATTTTTCTTCTTAATTTTTGGCATACCTAGACAAATCTAGTATATACCCAAGCCATGCCATACTTCACTCAAAACAATATTTTCTTCTATTACAAAGATAAAATTCTTTTTACTAGACTTCTTTTTCATTTTTAGACCGTACCTCAATTGAAACAATATTTTCTTTTACTGTAGAGATAAAACTCATTTCACTAGATTTTTTTTTATTATTATTTTATGCTTAGCATGATTTTAAAATTAAACTATGGTTTGTAAGTTATTTAAGATATTGACATTTAATTTTGATTTATACTTTTACTTTTGACATTAAATGTTAATTGTAGGCTGGACCTTAACAAATTAAACCATTTAATTAATTTTTGCATTACGTTAAATTAAAAATAAATACTTTTTTACAAGCGTACCAAGGCGTACCCATATCCTTTTTTTTTTAATTTTACCGTATCAACGTACCTGTATCGTACCAGTACCAATACTTGTACTCGTGCTTCATAGACTACCACTCTTAGCCCCCCGCTACTACTCCCAACTCATCCTTGCTCCAACTTAGACCTCCATAATCTACTCTCGTTACCCACCATTCCTTCAAAACCCTAAACTTTGCAACCTTATTTACCACAATTCGATCTCTATAAACCTTTCTATCATCGTGAACCCTATGTATCTAGATCTATTTTAAGGTTGATATTCGGTCAAACCCTATAGGTTCAAGTTGATATTTGAAAAAACTCTATTAGTTTGGCGATTGATATTTGAACGGTGACGATCCCTCCAATACTGATTATCCAGATGATTTGAGAGAGAGGTTAGAGTTTGAAAAGGGTGTGCATGATTGACTGAGAGAGAGAGTGAGAAAGAGGACAAGGTGGAAAGGTTAGTGACTAGAAAGATAGTGAGAGGGAGGATTATAAATGAAGAAGACAAAAAAGATGTAGCTAGCCAGCGACAAGTAATAGAGTGGTTGGTGGGGGTGATTGGTGGATGTGTATTATGAAATTAGAAAAATAAAAAATAAAAGTTTGTCTTAAATGGTAATTTAATTAAGAGATAAAGATGTGATTTTGAAAAAATTCACTAAGTGTGTGCCAGAAGATTTGGTGTAGAAAGAAAATTATCTATACATTTTTTTCTTATGACCAACAAATATCAAAACTTGGACTTCTGTCCTAGAACATTCCATCACATGGACTGTTGGCCAATTGTCCCTTCTTTTTATTTGTTACACTTATTTTTGTAATTTTTTAAAGAATGATAACAAGTATAGGGATAGGGATGGTAATTTTCCCTACCTCACAAGGGTATTCACTGCAACAACGAGAAAGTGGGACATGGATGGGTTTTGTTTAACCCACTCTGATTATATATATATATATATATATTATATAGATATAATTTTTTTTTAAAATTGAAAAATTAAAAATTTAAAATATTACACTTAACATTTATTTTCATTCATTTGTTTCTCATCTTCCATCTTTTTACTCTAATTAACTATAAATTATATCTGCGAAGTCCTTCTAAGAAATAAGAGCCAGTAAAATTATTATTATATTCTCTTCTCTTATAGGAGTTCTCGTCCTTGCCTCTGTGTAAGGTTTCTCTTCTCTCGTAGGAGGGCTTGGTTTGGGGTAAAGCTTGTTAGGAATGGAGTCAACCCTTGAAGAGCTTTCTAACCGCCTCCTATTAACAGAGGAGGAGGAGGCAGTGGTGGTTGCGGGTGAGGCTCATACAAAGTCGAGTGCGGAGAGGTCTTGGCTTTGCTTGGTCGGCCGGATTCTTACTCACCGACCTGTTAATGCTGAGGCTTTTCGGTCCACTATGGCTGCGGTTTGGAAGCCTACTAAAGGTATGCGTTTTAAAGCGCTGGTTGATAATTTATTCTTATTTCAGTTCAATCATATTGTTGACAAGAAGTGAGTTTTGTTGCGAGGACCATGGAATTTTGATAAACAATTGGTTCTCCTAGAGGAGTTGGATGGGTCGTTGCAGCCGTATGACTAAGGAGGTTGGGATATTGATTGGTAATGCTATTGGCACTTTTGCTGATATGGAATATGTTGAAGGAGGTGTGGCTTGGGGAAAATTGCTTTGAATTTGGGTTGCGATCAATATTAACAAGCCTCTGAGACGGGGCATGAAGATTACTTTGGGGCAGAAGGACCCAGTGTGGGTCTCCTTCAAGTATGAGAGACTTCCAAATTTTTGCTTTGCCTGTGGCATTCTGGGCCACAATCAGAGAGAGTGTGAACTTCAGTTGGTTGGCCAAATTGCGCAAGAAGGCTCTCATGGCCAATATGGAGGTTGCGGGCGGAAACTGTCATTGTTCAGCGACAGAGTGGGCCATTCACATCAGGGGGTGGTGCTTCAGTTGGGAAACTGACACATGACAAGGATGATAGAGAGTCTTCTAGTAGCCAGAGCCAGACTCTTTTTCGCAAAACGGGAACCACTCCGGCGCCAGTGAATGGGGGGTGTAAACGGTATTGTCCAAGAAAGGATAGATTCGACAAGCTTGAATCAAAGCCCTGGAATATCACGATTGGGATTGGAAGTTAACCTTAGCGGATTGCATGGGGATTTGCCTAACGTGGTGCAATCTCCACAATTTCAAATTCTAGCTAGGCGGGAAGGAGTAGGCCCATTTTTGGGACTTGTGGACCAAGCTATGCAGGTAACAATATTTGGGCTTTTGATGGGCCTCATTTGGGGGTCTTGGGCCTTAATATCCGCATGTTAGATGCTCAAAGTGTTTCTCCTGTAAGTGGGCTAGGCTTGGAGAGATCCAACAGTCTCAGGATTGTCGATGATGGGTTATCTGCTGTTGCTGAGTTAGGTGGGGACCACGCTTTGGGTTTGCATACAAAGACCAAAAAGAATTGGAAGAGGCTAGCATGAGAAAGATGTGGTAATGCACCAAGGATCCTTTAGAATATTTTTTTTCTAAAATTTCTTAAAGTGATATATTGTGTGGTTAAGATTTAATGTTGAAAAATTAATGTGACTTGTCATTAAATCTCAACCACACAATGCACCAAAGGATCCTTGCTCGTGGTAATGGGGTGGTTAAGCCAACTGTGGACCGTAAACGTAAGGGGGAGATAAGTTCATCGGGGCCAAAGGACGATGGAAGTAGGTTGGAAAAGAGATTGAAAGCGGCTATCGACATGGTGGCAACAGATGTTGAGCGACAAGCAACAGTGGTGGCTGCAGCGCAGCCCCGTCGATCCCAATGAACTGCCTAAGCTGGAACTTCCGTGGGCTTAAGAACCTGCGGACTGTTCACAATCTTCAGCGGGTGCTGAAGATAAAATATCCTGGTTTGGTGTTCCTTACAGAAACCATTTGTGATTTGAAACGAATTGAAGTGTTGCGATGCAAGTTGGGTTTGACTAGAGCTTTTTCGGTGGATAGAGTTGGGAGATCAGGAGGTTTAGCGCTACTCTGGAAGAATGATGTTCATGTGTCAATTCAAAGCTACTCATGTGGTCATATCGATGTTGTGGTGGAGTCTGGGATTGGGTTGATTCTGTGGAGACTAACTGGGTTTTACGGCAATCCAGATGGATCCCAGAAGGAGGCTTCTTGGCAGTTGATGCTTTGGCTGGCAAGCTTGTCGGATTTGCCGTGGATGATCGTTAGGGACTTCAATGAACTCTTATTTAGTCATGAGAAAATTGGGATGGGCCAACGCAACCACCGTCAAATTGATACGTTCCGTAATGCAGTCAACGATTGCGGACTTGTTGATTTGGGGTATGTTGGTGCTAAGTTTACATGGTGTAACAATAGGCAAGGTGGGTTGGTGCGTGAAAGACTGGATCGTGGTCTGGCTACTGCTGCTTGGATGGGAGCTTTCCCAAACGCTACTGTGTTCCATCTTGTTTGTAAGACATCGGATCATGTTCCATTGTTGGTTGATATTTTGGGTAATAAGTCGATTCCTCATAACCGTGGCTGGGGATCTTTGATTTATTGTTTTGAGGCCATGTGGCTTCGGGAGGAGGAGTGTAAGGTCATTGTTCGTAATAGTTGGTTAGTGGATGGGGATCCCACAGTGAGGGGGTTACGTCATAATCTAGAGTGTCTGTACGAGGTTACTTTCATGGAGTCGAACTAAATTTGGGGATGTCCGAAGGAGAGTTCAGGACAAGGTGAAGGAGTTACAGAAAATTGAGAATGTGGACATCTAGAACAACAGTGCACAGTTAGCTCGGACCAAGTTACGAACTGAGGTTGATGAACTCTTTGAGAGAGAGGAGGTGTTTTGGTTTCAGCGTGCTCGAACAAACTGGTTGCGGAATGGGGACTGCAACACGTCTTTTTTTCATGCTAAGGCTTCACAGTGGCATAAGAAAAGGCGTATTTCGGGATTGGAGGACGCTCGAAGCCAGTGGTGTGTTGAGGATTCTGGATTGCAGAGCATTACAGTGGATTATTTTGAGCAATTATTTACATCCCATGGCCATAGTGGAATGGACGGAGTCCTTGAGGCAATCACATCTTAGGTACCGAATGATGTGGTTTCAGCACTAGATAGAGACTTAACTGCTGATGAGGTATGGCAGGCTTTACATCAGATGCACCCTATGAAAGCTCCTGGACCAGATAGGAAACATGCGCTTTTATACCAGCGTTTTTGGTTGGTAGTTAGGGTTCATATGACCCGAGCTGTTCTAGGCATCTTAAATGGATCCGATAATGTGGGTCTGATAAATGATATGTTTATAGTCCTCATTCCGAGGGTAAAGGAGGTGAAACAAATGGTGGAATTTCGGCCAATTAGTCTATGTAATGTGATCTACAAAGTTGTGAGTAAAGTGTTGGCCAACCGGTTGAAGAAGGTATCTCAAGCTTGACATAAGCAAAGCCTATGATCAAGTTGAGTGGGGGTTTTTTAAAGGGGTTATGGAGCACATGGGTATGCCGAATCGATTTGTTGATCTTATCATGGGATGTGTTTCAATGGTGTCCTACTCTGTTTTGATCAATGGGCAGCCGACTGTGGAGTTTCGTCTGACAAGGCGAATTCGTCAAGGGGACCCATTGTCGCCCTATCTTTTTGTGTTGTGTGCTGAGGGGCTGTCGGCATTAATTACAAGGGCAGAGGCAAGTCATCATCTTAAAGGTATGGCCATTAGCCGAGGGGGGCCTCACATATCTCATTTATTTTTCGCTGATGATAGTTTGCTTTTGGAGTGGCCAAATCAGAGGAGATTCTAGTTATTCAGGGATTATTGCAGGAGTATGAGTTTGCATCTAGACAAAAAATTAATCTTCATAAATCAGCCATCCTTTTCAGTGCTAATGTGGATGATGTGGATAGGGAGGCTTTGCGACAACTTCTAAACGTAGGCATCATGGTTGAATATGGCAACTACCTGGGCCTACCATACCTGATTGGTGGGTCCAAAAAGGAAGTGTTCAACTTTATCAAGGACAGAGTTTGGAAACGGATTAGTGGATGGAAGGAAAAATATCTTTCGGTGGTGGGAATAGAGGTTATGATAAAAGCTGTGGCTCAATCCATTCCTACTTACGTTATGTCATGCTTCCAACTCCCAGAAACACTTTGTGCTAAGATTGACTCCATTGTGTGTCGATATTGGTGGGGACAAGGTGAAGACAAACGGAAAATTCATTGGACCTCATGAGAAGCTTTGTGTTGCCCGAAATGGGAGAGAGGAATGGGCTTCCGCCGATTGGCGGATTTTAACAGTGCTCTGTTGGCCAAACAGGGATGGCACCTTCTTAATTCCCATGACTCGTTATTTGCTCGGTTGATGCGGGCCAAGTACTATCTGATCTCGACGTTTTTGGAGGCAGAGTTAGGGTGTAATCCCTCATTCACATGGCAGAGTATTTTTAATTCTAGACCCCTTTTGATGGCCGATTTACGGTGGCAAATTGGGGATGAGCACACTGTTAAAATCTGGGGTGATAGGTGGTTGCCTCAGGGTCATTCTTTTCTTCTAATTTCTACTCTTTCTCTTCATGATGATGCCAAGGTGAGTTTCTTGTTGGATTCGGACCGTAAGTGTTGGGACTTGGCAAAGTTACAGACCCAGTTACTTGATATTGATGTGGAAGTGATTCGAAAAATTCCTATTAGCTCTTACCTGCCTTCTGATACATTGATTTGACATTATTCTCGAGATAGGAGATTCTCGATTCGGTCGGCTTATCACCTCCAAATGAATCTATCAAGGATTGGGACCTCTCCAGAATCGTCCAATAGAGAGGAAGCAAAATGGCGGTTTTGGAAAGGGGTTTGGCACTTACAAATTCCGAACAAGATCAAGTTCTTTGCATGAAAGGCATGCTTGAATATTATCCCAACCCAGGACCGGATATGGCAACGACGAGTGCTTATTGACCTTGGGTGTGACTGTTGTGATGAAGCTATAGAGACGTTAGTACACTGTGTAAAGGATTGTGAAGTGGCACAACAAGTATAGGTTGCTAGTCCCTTGGTGTTGGTTACGGATATTGGAGTGGGGTATAACTTTTATCATTGAGCGGTTGAGGTTGAGAAACAAGTTGATGAGGCAGGCTTGGGGTTGTTCTTCGTACTGTGTTGGTGTCTATGGTCTACCCAAAACCAAGCTATATTTAATAATGTTAAGCGGGTAGCGACCGTGATTGTTCAAAGAGTGTGTTCTTATATTCAAGAATTCTATCAAGTCAGAGCCCGAGTTCAAGGCCTGAGGGTCTGTGCTAATCCCTCGAGATGGAGGCCACCGCCAGTGGGTGTGCTCAAGATTAATTTCGATGCAGCAACGTTTGGTGATCTGGTGGCCATTGGGGTGGGTGTGATAGTTCGTGAGGGCACACGAGAAGGTTATTGCAGCCATGTCGGAAAAACTTCCTCGTTAGGTTGACGCGGATTGTGCTGAAGCTTTGGCGGCAGCAAGTGCAATTGCGTTTGGTGCAGAACTGGGTCTAAGTCATATTCACTTGGAGGGGGACTCTTTGTCCATTATTAAAGCATTCCACTATGATGGTCAAGTGCCATCCTCTTTTGGGCATATTCTCCAAGGTGCTATGTGTACAAGCCACTGCTTCACAAGTTTTTGCTGCTCGCATGTGTTACGAGGTGGCAACAAGGCTGCTCATGGGCTGGCTCATATGGCGGGTCGTGTGACCGGTCGGAGAGTTTGGAAGAATGAGGTGCCGGCTAAATTATGCAAGGTTATTCGGGTTGGGTCTGTTTAGTTTTTGATTTGCATTTGCCTTTTTTTTAAAAAAAAAAAAAACTATAAATTATTACTCATAATATATAATATTATTTCTATTTTTTATTAATATTTTTATTTTTTTTAAGTAACAAAATTAACTACTCGTCCCCTTGCTATCCTAATTTGCTCCACCTTAATATGATACAAGGCAAGGCCGGGACAATATAAACCTGTCATATTGTCATCCCTAAGGGTTCAATGTTGGACAGTCGTCCACTGCTCGACTTAACCCTATTTACTTATTTAATTTTTTATAAAAAATTAAAAATGATATTTTAGGTTGATTTAATTTTTTAGACTAGTGTTGGGGTTTCAGTTTTAAGTTTCTCTGACTTATAATAATTTTAAATTTTTTTGTAATGATAATATATTTTTAATTCTCAAAATATGAGGTTGATGTCTATTTAGTTATTAATATTTAAATTGTGTCAATCCGGTCTTCAAATCCAATATAAAAGTGTTTCAATTTAATTCTCCAATTTAAATTGAAACCATTATATATATATATGGGAGAAAAGATTAACACAATTTAAACAACAGAAATAAGGGGAATTTTATAAATGTGTTTTATAAGGGAAAATAAGGAGAAATCAATAAAAATGTGTATTATAAATGCAAGAAGTCTTGAGTTAGAATTGACATCCTTATAATTGTATGATTGACTCAGGACTCGTTCATTCATTTTGACCCATTTGGTCATAGAATGAATAGATCATTGGGATTTCAGTTATAGAATGAGTTGATCATTGGAATTAATATTGTGTGATAAGTGTTTCTTCATCACCTAGAAGATTATATTATCTGGAAATGTTATACCATGAAATTAACTCAATGCCTTTGATATGACTTATTGGGATGTAAGGTTGAGTAAGATAAGTGAATGTTGATGATATGCCTAAGTGAGTTATTTTTGACTTCTGAAGATAAATGATTTTCCTTGTAGAACCAATGGAGTAAATCCCCCACCTATTCGACTCGGTGGCTTATGAATTGTATGGGGACAAATATCTAAATTATTGTCGCCAAAGAATTTGTGGACCAAGCATTCAGATTAGTTATCGATGTTATATCAAATACATAATCTAATTTGAGGACTTTAAGTGACTATCTGCAATAGAATGTTGTGATTCATTTGAAACAAAAGAGTCAAATTATGAACATCATTGGGATTAACCATTTGCTATTTGGAGTATATGAATTATGAATCACTATATGTGAGTAACAACTCCATAAAGCTGTTTTTAGTTATAAATATTTTCTCGATGATATGATATGATCTGTTTTATGAAATGCTATATTTTGAATGAATGAATGATTGTCCAAATTTCTGAAATGTATTTGTGGCATCCTTAGCATCATGTGATATCTGTTATTTGTTACCCGGTACTGAAGGTTCCATCAAGGAACTTATCTGCTCTGTATCTGTTATTTATTACCTGGTACCGGAGGTTCCATTATGGAACTGGTTATTATAACCACTACCTGCTCTGTATATGTTTTGTTAGCGTTAAGGGATGTACCACATATGACTATATGTGAATTCTGAATGTGAATATGAATCTGTTTCTAATCTGAAATATGTTTTCTGAATATATTATGGACATCATTCATTAAAATCTTTATCTTCTTGTTGTTCACTGGCCATCAAATCCATAAATTGAAGTATGTGAATTGCATGATCAATGTGTTTTATGTATAGATGTTGAGAGGTCAGTTTTGAGATCTGTTTGTGTCGTTGGTTAGTACCAAATAGCTTTTGATGACAATATAAACTATGATGAAATTACCAATTGGGGTAGTTGACCAACAAAAGAATGAAATGAGTTGAACTCTTGTGATGAGAATCGAATGGAAAAGATGTTACTTGGGAACAAAAATTAAAATGAGAAAAAGCTTTGTGGTTGATTTATGGTACAAACGTCTTAAGTTTGGAGGACCAAACTTTCTAAGGGGCAGAGAGTGTGACAACCCCACTATGTATTATATTTGGCATTTAATTATTTAAGGAGATTTAGATTTTAATTAGTTATTATTCTGATTTAATTTGGGATTTACGAGGATTATGGAGCCCAATCGGTAAGTGATTTTAATAATGATTTATTTTGATATTAGAAATTGACAGTCTAAATGGCTTAAAGAAATGAAATTAATTAGTTGAATCATGTTGATTTCAAGTATTGACCCATTTGGGAGCTTAATTGAATATTCGATTTAGCTTCAATTCAGTTTAGTAAAATTAAAATTTGATTAATTGGGTTCAAATTGCAGTTAATTAAATTAATTACATTATAAGGTTTGAGAAATTATGATTATTATGAATTAAATCTATTTATGAAGTGTCCAATTTAAACATGTAATTTATTTATAAGGATTTCGGGTCTGACTTGAAATTGAAGGCCTTAGCAACTTGAGGCACTCAAATTGATAGTAGCAATAAGTTCAATTTGATATTTGGAGCATTTGGGAGTTTGACTAAAAATTTGATTCAGATTCGTAAAGTTAAATATAATTAATTGGGCTATAATAAGAGTCAAATTAGGCTAATTAAATTATGTGAAATGTGTAATTAGTTGTGATTAATTATATTAAATGCTATTCAAGTGTTAATTATTATTGGTTAGGACTAAGTGATGATTAAGTTAAATTAATGTGTAATTGGTGTGCCAAACAAATCCTAATCAATTAAATTGATGTGCAATTAGTAAATTAAGTTAATTCTAATTAATTATATGAGAGAGAGAGAGAGAGAGAGTACTCAATTGAGTTGTTATATTGGGTGTATGTATGCACGTGTATATGGGATAAAAGGAAAAGAATGTAGGGATTCAAAACAGAGAGTTAAAGAGAGGGAGAGAGGAGCCGTACGGGAGAAAGAACAAGAAGAAGAGGGTTTTGTGGGATATCAAGATTCAAGCTAAGAATTATGAAAAATTCATCTTAAGGTGAGAAATTTCATCCTCTTTCTTGTATTGTTTAATTAATTTAAACAAAAATTGATTCAAGGTGGATTTTGAGAGGATTAAAAATAAAGATTTGAAGATCAATTATAGAAGTTGATAGAAATTGGGTCTTGCATGTTCAATCAAGTTAGGTTGACAAATATGAGTTATGATTCTTTAAATTTGTTAAGTTTAAGTTTAATTTTGAGAATTATACTTGAATTAGGTCCCATAAATTGCATGCAACAAGATTTATTTGAAGATTTGATCCATGCAATGGAGTTAGGTTCAAATTTATGGAAATTAATTTAGAGATTAATCACTTTGGGGTTTGAATTTAGTTGTCTTAACATGAAATTGAATTTCAATTGTACATGCATCATGAATTTTCAAGAGCCTTGAAAGTTCAATTCATGATCTAAAGTTTGTGGGTTTGAAATTGGACTTGATATAAAGAAAATGAATTAAATTTAAATTTGGACAAATTTATAAAGAAATTATTATTTATGTTTGAGAATAAAAATTAGTTTGATTTTGATTTAGATTCTATTCATGCAAATATTTGTGAAAGGGCTTTATAGATTCAATTTTATGTTTCATAAAACAAAGAAAGAAGTGAAAGATGAGTTTTACAACATGAAATCCAAGGTTTACATTTTAATTGAAATCATGGAATTTTGAAATATAAGTGGAATTAACTTTAAATATATGTAATTGGGAACATTTTTGCATATTTGAGTGAGTCATGCATGAATTTGGAGCCTTGGAAATGTGTTTTGAAGTTTAAACAACATTATAGAAAACCCAGAATTCGCCATCATCACTCGAGCGAAGAAGTTGTCGCTCGAGCGTAGAATGCAAGCAACCAGTATTTTTGCAAACCAACGGGTCCACTCGAGCAACCAATGTTGCGCTCGAGCGAAGAACCCTGTGTCAGAAAATTTTGAAAAGCTATTTCATATGTCAATTTATGTTCTCTTTCACTCTTAAGCACTCTTAGGCATGTACTAAGCATTATAAATGAACTATAAAGTTAGAAAGAGCCTAAGAGAATTAAATGAATTAAAGAACGGAATGAATTGTATTGTGACCCGATTTCTATGTGTATTATGAATTGTGTAGGGTCAACTACAAGGGTGAACCAGGCATCTGAACACTGTGAGTAATATCTTAGTAAAGATATTTTCAAGTATATTATTTTCCAAATGCTACTTCTATATAAGCTCCATGGATTTGTTGATTTGAATTACGAATGAGTATTCTATACGCCTAATTTTCTGTATAAGCTCCATGGATTTTTTTATTTGAATTACGAATGAGTATTCTATATGCCTAATTTTTGTATAAGACTCTGAGAAGAATATGATTTGGGCCCAAGGCCGTTTGATATGTGATAAAAGTGTGAATTGGGCCTGAGGCCGTTTGATACGTTTGATATGTCTAGATTGGGCCAAAGGCCGTTTGAATAATATGTGATGGGCCCAAGGCCGTCTGAACACGAATGCAATGGGCTAAAGCCGTTTGAATATTATTATGGGCTAAAGGCCGTTTGAATAATATGTGATGGGCCCAAGGTCGTCTGAATACGAATGCAATGGGCCAAAGGCCGTTGAATATTATGATGTGCCAAAGGCCGTTTGAATATTATGATGGGCCAAAAGCCATTTGAATATTATGATGGGCCTAAGGCCGTCTGAATACGAATGCAATGGGCCAAAGGCCGTTTGAATAATATGTGATGGGCCCAAGGCCGTCTGAACACGAATGCAATGGGCTAAAGGCCGTTTGAATATTATTATGGGCTAAAGGCCGTTTGAATAATATGTGATGGGCCCAAGGTCGTCTGAATATGAATGCAATGGGCCAAAGGCCGTTGAATATTATGATGTGCCAAAGGCCGTTTGAATATTATGATGGGCTAAAAGCCATTTGAATATTATGATGGGCCTAAGGCCGTCTGAATACGAATGCAATGGGCCAAAGGCCGTTTGAATAATATGTGATGGGCCCAAGGCCGTCTAAACACAAATGCAATGGGCCAAAGGCCGTTTAAATATTATGATGGGCCAAAGGCCGTTTGAATAATATGTGATGGGCCCAAGGTCATTTGAATACAAATGTAATAGGCCAAAGGCCATTTGAATATTATGATATGCCAAAGGCCGTTTGAATATGAATGTAATGGGCTAAAAGCCAACCGAATAAAAAGGTTATCATGATCACGAATATGAATATGCACGTAGATATGAATATGAACATGTAATATGATTAGACAAGTACTTTGGACATGAGGTCGTTTTGCCCCTCTGATATATCTTAAGCATGATGAATTGGACCTGGAATCGTCCTGCTTTTGATTTGCATGTAATATGAATTAATGTGATTTACTTAATTAAGAATCTTATTTATACAATTGCTTTACTTTAGTATTATTCACTGGGTGTTAGCTCACTCCTTATATACATATACATGTAGGTGAGCAATTGGAGGATCAATATTAGAGTTTGCTCGGAGTCTGCCTCTTTGTTAAGCCACCCAAGAAGTACCTCTGCATAGAGGCTTTATTTTATTTTGTCAGGCTTGAGTTAATCTTTGTGTTTTGTTGAAAGTCCTCCAAGTAGTGTGTGGGATATGTTATAAAATACGCCTTCGTACATGTATATATAAAAGTGTGTTAAAAATGTTTTAATTACTACAGTTGATCTTGTACGCACAGTTCAGTGGACATTATTATTTTTGTTTTGCTTTCGCTTCAAGCCCCAATTATATTTAAATATTTTGAATTTTGTCTTTGAGGTCGTAGGTAATCTTCAGATTACTAGCCAGTTACGACGCTAAGCCTATAGGGGCGGGTTTGGGTCGTGACAAGAATTGTCTCATAAAGTGAGTATCAATAAAAGTTAGGTTTAGATTTGGACTTAGTCTTGGTATGGAAATAGCCTAGGTTTGTGTTTGTGCATGCGCTGGGTTTAGTCTTGGACTTGGACTTGGACTTGGATTTGGACATAGTCTTGAGCATGAGGTGAGATGTGTTGGGCTTAACTTATGCATGTGTTTAAGATTAGGCTTGGATCGGATTGTGATCCAACATTCGTATCGGTTTTGCAACCCATCTATTTGAATTATTCAAACATTATTATATACATATTTATTTATATATATTAAACACATGGGAGTTTTAAACTTTTTGTAAATCTCATTTTTTGATGATGGAATTGATGATCATATTAGTGGCCATGAGTTTTTAACCTTTGTAACTCTAGCCCTAATGGCTAGAGTTGATTACATTTGATGACCCTATTGATGTTAGCCTTCATACCTAAGGTTCTCCCCTACAAGTATAAATAGTGACATTTTCCCTCCAACTTTGGAAAAAGATGAAAAGAGGATTGTTTGAGATGAAAATTTTGTGATTTCTTTTTGTGAGAAAGTTGGAGATGTGCTTACACCAAAGAAAAAATTCAAAGATTTTTTTTTTCTTATCTTCTTTTTGCTAGCCCCTTCTTTGGTTCTTGTTAGAAAGAGAGTGCTACCCTTAGTCAATTTGTCGAAGCTATCTAGGAAGTGTTCATGCAGTAGCTAGTTTCAACCATCGTATTTTGGGAGATAGATGTCGACTTTCTTCTAGCACCCATTGGCAAGGCGACGAATCTATTTTGAGGAAACTGTGTATACCACAGGTTTCAGTTTGCTTCATTTCTTGTCATTTGTTCTTTAATTTTTCAAAATTAATTTTACCTTGATGAGTTCTAATCTTTAGTTATTCATGTTAATAATTTATTCTATTAGTGATTTTATTTAGGCGAGTTTTATGATGTAATCTAGTTCATTCATGTATTTTTAGTTTTGTACTTTATTCTGTATTTTTTTGTCATTTCTATTTAATTTTATTTTATATATTTTTTCTAGTATTATTATGGAAAAATGCCAACAAGACTTGTCTCACCTCACAAGACTGCATCTTCTCCTATGGACATCTCACTAAGTTAACCTCATACTAGATGGGTTCCTCCTCCCCAAGGAATGCTCAAAGCTAACTACGATGCTAGGTTCTCTTTTGAGGGTAGGAAGTCTACAATTGCTATTATCCTTCGTGATTGGAATGGTAAACTGGTGGATGGTGTTGTGTCTTCTGTCCAATTCAAGAAGAAGCCCGTGCTACCAAGTTGGCGTGTATATTTCTTCAAGCTCTTGGCCCGACCAATGTTCAAGTGGAAAGTGATAACAAATTAGTGATTGATTTAAGTGAATTTAGAGTTGCTTTCACCTTAGGAAAGCCTTGCGTGTTTCCAATATATTCAATCTGTAGGTAAACGCTCAGGTTTCTTTTTCTCCTTGGTGCCTAGAGTAACCAATCGTGTAGCCCATTGGTTCGCTTTAGCCCACTTGAAGGGATCTCTCCCCTTAGACTGGGTTGGGAACCCACCTTTCAGCTATAAAGGATATTTTAAGAGTGGTGCTATTAGCACCCCAAGAATTAATTTGGACCCCCTATTCTTTGGACCCCCATTTATAATTTTTGAAACCCTAAAAATTTCTTTAAACCCCCCAAATAATACCAAAATTATCTTTAAACATTCCACCCAATTGAATGCACACTCCCACACCTCAAAAAAAAAAAAAAAAAAACCTCTATTCCAAAAAAATCGTAACAAAACCTCATCCTTTTCAAACCCACGAACAAGAAGAAGAAAAACTCTGTGACTCTAGTATGCTCTCTCTCTCTCTCTCTCTCTCTCTCTCTCTCTCTCTCTCTCTCATCCAATTATGGCCAGAAAGATAGATCTCTAGCGTGTTTATCCACCTCTTCCTTTCTCTCTCTCATGTCTACTGTTGCTATTTTGTGTTTGGTACTTAGGAAGTTTTAAATCATGTATGTTCTTTCTATTCCTTTGAAATAGTACTATGTTACGTGAATCTAAACTTGTCCTTTGTTTTGCTTAGTTTGTTTTGTTGATTTTGTTCATCTACTAATTGCCAGACACTAGATAACATTTATATGGTTTACTTTTGCTAGAAAATCTAATCCAAATATAACCCAAAAAATAAAAATAAGAAAACAAATATTGTTTTTCCATTCCTATATTCATGATTTTATTTGTCTTTTTTATATTGAAGCCTATATTCTTTATTGTGTTTGTTACCTCCATTATCTTACATAAGCTACTTGAGTAGATATCTGGGTTTGCTAACTATACATTAATCTGAAACTTTAAAATAAGTTAAATAAATCTTATACTGGACAAAGATATGCTATAAATGGGGAATGACAAATTAATCTTAGTCTTATGATTGGGCACATTGAGTCTTTGAGTGACATTAAATGTCTCCCTCACACTTTGGTCTGCATTTGAGGTTACAAATGCATAATTTTGAATGGGACTCATTAAATATATAAAGGGACCAACAATGTGGATAATATGCTATGAGTTTTATGATCTCATGAAATGTTACTGTTCCAAATAATTTGTATTATTTGTGTTGATGATACTTTGTTACATGGACTTAGGGTATGTGTGTCACATTCGAGTATATGTCTAACTTCTAAGTGTCAAGTTCATCTAATTCTAATGTCCAATACAGCCAAACTGATAATGATACGGCAGATGTGGGATGAAGAATTATTAAATGTTAGAATCTTTATAAGGTCTTCTAGGAGTCTGACTTAGAAGAAACAATTGTTTTACTATTGAAAGAGAACTACAATAGAGAACTTCATTAATCAATTTGTCTAATTGTATGTACAAAGATTTCATTGTACAGAATTTTGTATCCTAAAACTAAAGGTTTTGCTAAACTAATTAATACTCAACTACTAAACAAGTATAGGACATAGTAAAACTCACAACCAAACAACTTGACAGAAGTAGATTCAAATGCTCTGAATTTTGCATTCTTAAAGTCTCTTTAGCTGGTAAAGAATCATTAATTTGTTTGAGATGGCCCCCCTTTTTTTTTTCTTTTTTAAGTTTCTTGATGGATGATTATGCTATATATATTTTTAATCTGAGATTATCACTTAATGACTTCTCTTTCTCATCTTTTGACACATAATTGTGGGTCCTATGCAGTCAATGACTGCTTGGTTTATAAATAATTTATTTGAATTGTAGAGACCAAAAGAAGAAAAAGAATCCTTTGACCTAACTTGCTTTTGATCATATACACGACTACACAGCACTGCATAAGCACAAACAAGCTAACTTTCTTTTCATATACAACATGTCTGCTCTTGCATATAATCATATTATTTCTTTTCATTTTTTCCTTCCCTAGTAAGTATTTTTTCATTTTTTTTAATTACTATACTTGTCTTACCTTGTAAAATATTGTGTCTTCCAAATGTTGCAGCTAACTTATGGACGTTAACAATACAACTCGAAAGCGGCAAGCGGCATCTTTAAGGCGTAACACAACCCAAGTTCCTCAAAATGTCGGTCGGAAACGTCATGCTTGTCATGTTCAAGTTGACGAATTTGATGGTGCTGAACCCATTGTCAATGATATTGGTGGCAATGAAGAGCAAACAAACATTGTTGCCGTTGACCACCACACGGACATTCCTGATGTTGACCATCCCATGGACATGCCTGGTTCAAGTGAAGAGCTTGCTACATCTTTTCCCGGGGGCCCAGTTGATCCTTCCATTCTGACAAATTTTAGTTGTCATATAGCAGCCAAAATTTGAAATAATGAGGTATAACTTACAAACTATTGTCTTGTTTTAATCATTTTAATAAAAAAAATGAGAGATACATGACGCTATTGTGATATGGAATGATGCAGGAACGAGATTTGTTGAGATGCTTGAACCATGGCTCTAAGGTTGCCAATTGGTCTTTAACATCGGAAGGAGTTGACAACTTTAAATTTGTGAACATTATTAAACATTTAGGATTGCATTCTTTAACTAGTTGCTCATACAAATTTGTGAACGGGGTAGTTATATCTGTCTTTGTTGAAAAATGGCAACCTGAGACTAATAGTATCCACATGCCATTTGGTGAGATGTCCGTGTCATTAGATGATATAAGTAACCATATTAGCAATTCCTGTGACTGGTACATCTATTTTAACTAGTAAGTTATCATGGGATGAAGCTGCAAAGGTGTTGGTTAAGTCATTGGGAGTGTTAGAAGATGATGCAGTTGTTGAGTTGAAGGGAGCGCAAGGCCAATCAGTGCAATTGGAATGGTTACATGAAAATTTTCAATCAGTTTCAAATGCGGATTCAGATGATTTCATTCATTATGCAGCGAGGGCATATTTATTATTCTTGCTAGGTTGTACCTTGTTCGTTGACAAGACTATAAATCATGTTCCTGTTGTGTATCTCCAGTTGCTCGAGGATTTGAATTTAGTTCATTCGTATGCTTGGCATGCAGCTGCATTAGCTTTTTTGTATCGGCAATTGGGTATGGCAACAAGTCTATTATCAGACAAATAGCAGGATACGTGACACTATTGGAGGCTTAGATCTACGAACATTTTATATGTGCTAGAACCCATCCAAATTTAAATTATACAGAAAACCAACCTCGGGCTTATCGTTGGATTCCTCGCACACAATCTGGTTTATCAGTTTCTGTGTTAAAGTCATTGCGAGAGAAGCTTGATAGATTGGAGGCTCATGAGGTAAAAAAGTAATGTGTAATTCCTTTGTGTCATTGATCTTTTATAGAGAACTTATGATTTTGTGTATTCTTTATAGGTTATTTTGGATCCATATATTGGTAAACGTGAGAACCATTCATTTGCTAAAGTTGCTTACTACACTGGATTGCTGAAATGCATGGATATTGTTGAACCCTATCATCCAGATAGGTTTTTGAGACAGTTTGGAAGGGTGCAAAATATTCCCCCGCCTCCACTTGCTCCACTTTCACAAGGATTTACTGCTGGCAAGTATTGTCTTTTGTACAAATATGTGGATCGGATTACAGAGAGGTGGAAAAATCATGTGTTATCTGAAGTGGAGTGCAGTGAGCCAGTTTTACATCCATGGGATTGCACGCCTAATTACATGGATTAGTATTGTCGCATTTCCAATGTCACTATTCAAAATCCGGCACATCGATCTACATACGACCCACGTTCTGAGGCATCAATAGCTGATAGTGACTCACAACGCATTTCAAAAGCCTTGACTATAGCACATCTAATAATGCAGTTGGATTACATTGAAGTCATTAGTACTCCAGAGTCTCTGTACAATGCATTCAAACAAATGACGGAATTATTAGAGGGCCAGCACATAGATGAAGAACACACTCCCCACCGGAACAACACTCCCCATCGGAAAAACAACAATCCGTTGAAGAAAGTTTGGTTTATTACCGTCTCCTTTGTCCTCACCCTCGCTAAACTAACACTGAACACAACTGAAAATTCATGATCATTTGTGGGATACTATGGATGTTTTGTTATTAGAATTGAATGTTTATGTGTATTTTCGTATTAGTATGGATGATTATGGACCATCCTTTTGACTTAGTAATGTTATGGATGATTTCGTCATGGTTGCTTTGATGTACGACAGAAGTTATGTTCGCACCATGGTTTTCAATTAGTGATTTCATTAATGCTTTTAAGTTATATATGTCGTGTTTGATTGTTATGATTGCTTTAACTATTGTTGTATTTTTATCATTATATATACATCATCATTGAGTTTAAGAGATTTCCATGTTCAGGCCTGTATTCCCGAACATTACTTATTTGTTCGGGAATGCGTTAAGTAATATATGGGCTTGTGTTCTCGAACATGAAAAAATGCAAACTTCTACAAGCTTTAAGAATTTTGACCGTTGAAAGTATTAAGAAGTTTCCATGTTCGGGCCTGTATTCCCGAAAATTACTTATTTGTTCGGGAATGCATTACTGAACAAATAAGTAATGTCCGGGCCTATATTCCCAAACATGAAAAAATGCAAACTTCTACAAGCTTTAAGAATTTTGACAGTTGAAAATGTTAAGAACTTTCCATGTTCGGGCCTGTATTCCCGAACATTACTTATTTGTTCGGAATGTGTTACCGAACAAATGAGTAATATCCGGGCCTGTATTACCGAACATGAAAAAATGCAAACTTCTGCAAGCGTTAAGAATTTTGACTGTTGAAAGTGTTAAAAAGTTTCCATGTTCAGGCCTGTATTCCCGAACATTACTCATTTGTTCGGGAATGCATTCCCGAGCAAATAAGTAATGTTCGGGCACGTATTCCCGAACTTGCATAAATGAAAACTTTTGCAAGCCTCAATAATTTTAACCGTTGAAAGTGTTAACAAATTTCCATTTGGTCAAAGTTTAATATTTTTGATTAACAAAGATAAGTAACACCAACCAGTTTCATAAACAGATAAAACTGAAATTCTTCAGATAACAAAAAAAATATGTTATAAACATGTACATCTACTTCGCTAGAACTTCATATGTCTATATCTAACTCTATTGTCTCAGTTGTCGCTACACTCGATCCTACGAGTGAAATGAAATGCTACACTCGGGCATTGTAAGTTGTCTCCGATCCTGTTACAACAAGTAAATGGTAACGTCGCCAATTCATTGCTATTGGTGGCACCGAGTGACCATGCACCAAGAAGACCTACAAATATGAAATAATGGTAAATTACAATTTACTATTGTATTGCTAACAACGAAAACAAATTTGTTTCAATAATGGGGCTCATAATGAGTACCTGAACGAAATGGTTGTTGTTGACAAACCCAACACATATCTCCTCACGAGATGCAATCGGTATTGGGATCATCCTAAGAGGAAGAAAAGTGAGACATTGTTAAGAAGATAAGTGAAATAACACAACATTGTAAAAAGATGATATCAGATAACCCATGTTAGGCATTGTCATCCAATGACTATATCCAACATTTGATTCAAAATACGCTAAAGTAGTAGTTAACTCATCAACTCTTTTTTGGCCCCCAAATAAACTCTTGTAGTGATCTATATGGGCATGTAAACTCAGTCTTCCCCAAATCCCATCAATCCAACAATGGTTCGGAATCCACAATTACCATCAGCATCAACATTCTTCACGAGTTGAATATATGGCCTCAAACTTGAAGGAAATTCACCTACAAAAGACAAAGGGTATGTTTGGTTTGTGTTTGAGAGATGTGTTTTAGAGATAAAATGTACGAAAAGTTGTTTGGTTTGGTTTTTTTCAAAAGATGTTTTGAAAAATTATTTTGAGAGAGAGTTTTGAAAAAAGTGATTGATTTGATGTGTGTGAGAGAGAGATTTGCTTGGAAAACTTGTTTGGTTTACAAGTTTTGAGAAAATTTTTTAGAAAAATTTGTTTGGTTTGATTACTTTTAAAAACTTATTTGTAGAGAAAATTTCCCAAAAAATTTTCAGAAATACAAACCAAACGAACCCTTTATTTTTTTTTTTTTTTTTTTTTTATCGATGTGAATATACCTACATGCATACAATCCATTGCTAAAGTTAGTTAATACATGTTATTGTACAATTATAAACATAATTAATCAGTTTGCAAACTCACACCTTTGGTCACTGCATTGATTTTAATTTCTTTGGACACGTTTTTTTCTTCAAACCTACACTTGGTAAGTAGTTGTCCTGTGCAGATGAAACAAACTCAAAGACAGAGGGCTCACGACTAGTAGAAGTATCAATCTTCAAGGATGGTGAACCCGTGGATTAAGCTTCACTTCAGGTTCAATCAAGAATGTACTCTCAAGTGTATGTATCTCCCTCAACTTTTTTAACATTTGAACCTACATAGTTCGATCTACCTCTTCATAACGTTGAGCAAACATATCTAACTCTGATTTACAACTCAAAAATGAATTTGATTTTTTAGGAATATTAAGCATGTCAAGCTTGGACTAATGTGGATCTACAGAAGTTAGTGGAATTGGTTGATTTTCTCTCATATAATCTGCTATTTCATGAGCACATGGTAATCCATGTGTACGCCGAACAGCACAACTGCATGTAATAATGTCAATGCCAACAAAAGATGCTCACTTGGACTTTGCCAATATCATTTCCAATGTTGAAATAGACATGTTCCCATGAAGATCTTTAAATTGAGTAGGCTTGAAATTATGTTGCACAATTGTCTTGCTCTTCTTAAACGATGATTTGATGTCAGTGTGTTGCAACTCAAACAAATTGTGTATCCTTGACCAATTTGACTGAAAACTTGACTAGATCCAAGATATCTCTTGAGCATTGCATGTGAACTCTCTACCCTATATATGCAAACCATTACAATGGTAAAATAGGAAAATATACATTATTTTGTAAATAATTGAATTTACCTGTTCGTTGTTGAATTTCCCAAGCGCACACATGTATCTGTCCATGCAACTACAAATCTCTTCTTATATGTATCCAACCAAGAAGATGTGACATATTGAAGTGCCTCTATATAAAAGTCGAACTCATTTTGTAGCAATACGAGTCGTTGCATGTACATTTCTTCAGAAGATGACATAACCAACATATTCTAACTTGTTATAAACATATCCCATTTCTCCTTCTTCTCAAACAATTTCTTGCATTTGGCCAACACATTTTTATTAATATGCCATCTACATAACAAACTTGTAGCTTGTGGAAATATCGTTGCAATAGCATTCATTAGACTCAATTCTCTGTCTAAAACAATAACATTGGGAAGACTATTCTCATCCATTAAACTACGCAAAATACCAAGTGCCCATGCATAATTATCCTCCCTCTCATACTGGAAGTATGCAAAACCCACAGAGAAAGTCTTTTTAGTGGATGTTACTCCTACAATCTCTAAAAGTGGCAAACAATATCGATTGGTCTTATATATACAATCCATTAGTAACACACGTGGGAATGCACGTAGCAAATCCAAACTAATTGGATGTGCAAAAAAAAAAATCGGTAACAGTCTCATATCTTTACAATTCTTATGCCATTCTATGTATTTGTTCACCGCTAACTGACCCAATAGTAGCTGAATTTCAGATCTCCCAGCCTTCTCAAAAACTTTATGCCGTTGACGTGTGCATTGTAGATTGTTTTCATTGTGGAAACATTTAAGTGGCAAACAATATCAATTGGTCTTATATATACAATCCATTAGTAACACACGTGGGAATGCACGTAGCAAATCCAAACTAATTGGATGTGCAAAAAAAAAATCGGTAACAGTCTCAATATCTTTACAATTCTTATACCATTCTATGTATTTGTTCACCGCTAACTGACCCAATAGTAGCTGAATTTCAGATCTCCCAGCCTTCTCAAAAACTTTATGCCGTTGACGTGTGCATTGTAGATTGTTTTCATTGTGGAAACATTTTCACTATTGCGTTGTTTAAGTGTGACTAATATCTCACTTGGTCGTACCATACTTTTCGACATATCAACCAACAAAGAAGTTTCCTTATGTGATAACCTCCCAGCATAAGAACGACCTTCAAGACAAACCGCAACAGGATGATTATGCACACCACATATCATGATCAATGTCCAATCATCGTTTGTATCTAATTTTTTAGCTATTAACAGAAAAGGACAGTCACATTTTTTAGTACTAGTAAGCTTTAATTTTTTTTCCTTAGGTCTAGTGTTTTTCCTAGTGTCCCTATAACATCCACTCCTCTCACAAGCAAAAGTTAGTCTTGGTTTCTTACGATGAGTACCACCCGCACCTGATTTCTTCATAACAATAACCAAACCATTTCTCCTCCCAACATCACGTGCCCACCGAATTAATTCATCTCAAGACTTGAATATCTAAAATTGCAAAAATAAGGTAATGATTTTGTTACCAATATACACATAAAGAAATAAATTAATGCACATTAACAATATATATGTGAAAACGATTCATATATAATTTTCAATACGTTCATATATTACTGCGTGAGTCACAAATTCATTACTATAATCTATTATGAATTTTGAGCCAACTTTGCTACTTCTATTTGACTCGCCATCATCCTAAAATAAATAACAATACAAATTAAATTTCAAAATATGATCAGTAAAATAGGTCCGAACCTATGAATAATGTTCGATTACCTACTTCCGAACAAATAATAAATGTTCGGTTACCGGTTCCCGAACAAATAAACAATGTTCGAGCTTGTGTTCCCAAATTTCGGTCAAATGTTCGGGAGTTCAGTCTTGAAAAAATGACAAACAGATTTTATTATTTTTATCATTTTTTTCAAGAAACTTACCCTTATGAGAGGGTAATTTACATGAAAATTGGGCCGAGTTGGGTAATGGGCCGTCATGGGCCGCAATACAAAGGGCTGAGTAAAAAGGCTTTAAAGTTAGCCCGGTACAAGAGCCCCGAAGCTAGTCCGGCCCGGAGGAGACTTGAAGTTAGTCCGATCTAAAGACACTTGGAAGTTAGTCCGGTCTCGGAGTTAGCCCGGTCGTGGCGTATTGTGGCTAGAACGGTCAGAACCTACTCTTCGGTAGCTCGGTCTGATCACACCATGGTTTGTACATGAGAGAACCGAGGTAAGGTGTAGCGGAAGGGAGAACCGAACTAAGGATAGTTCGGCCTACTCTATGGCTCAGCATAACCATGATTAT